CCGAACTGTTCCGGAAGAAGAATGTCATGTTCCTCCACAAACTTGTTTAGTCGGCTGAGGATCAATTTTTCGAACAGCTTGCTCAGCGCTGAGAGCAGGCTAATCGGTCTGTAGCTTGCCGGTAGTGAAGGGTCTTTCCCAGGTTTGCGGATCGGGATGATTTTTGCCACCTTCCAGATGCTTGGAAAGTAGTGCAGCTCCAAGCATCTGTTGAGGATGGCAGCCAGCAGCGAGTGGACCCTCGGGCTGAGATTTTTCAACGCTAGGTTGAATATTCCGTAAAACCCGGGAGCCTTCATGTTTTTACTATATTTCAGCGCTGAGCAAATTTGTTCCTCTGTAATCCGTTCTTCTGGAGGGACGGCACAAGGGGAGGCATCTAACGTCTGGACGCACTGCACAACCTGGTTCTCGAGTGGACTTGGGATTGTAGAGCCAAGCAAATGCGATTGGGCAATGTGCTCCCCAATTGCATTGGCCTTCTCTTCGTTGGTGATAAGCCGTTCGTCATTGACTCTAAGTGGTGGAATGGGCTTGGGGTGAGACTTCAGCACCTTGGCAACCTTCCAGAATGGTCTGGAACGGTCGTCCAGGTTCTGAACGAGCCGCCCGAAACTCTCGTTCCGGATTGAGACCATTCTGGAAGCGATCTGCCGATTCAGATCGACCATTTCGTATTTACGCTGCAGATCCCAGTCCGCTGAAACTGGCGTCTACGAACATTTCTGAGCCGAATCAAGAGTTTGGTGTGGGAATCAATTGCTTGAAACTTACCCCTCACAGGAACTCGTCGAACGCACTCTTCGTCAGCCACGGATATGGCTTGATGGAGACCCTCCAGGGCCCGGTCGATGTCCTCCACTGTGTCGAGCGGTGGGTTGTCGTCGATGTGGCGGTCGACCACGCGTCGAAACTGGACCCAGTTGACTCGAAGGTAGTCCTTCCGCTGGCACGGTGCAGGGGCCACGTTGTAGCCCAGCTCGGTCAGCACCGGTTGGTGGTCCGAACTCAGGTCGTTGACGGCAACCGGCTTGGCTAATCTGGTGTTTGCCAAGAACAGGTCCAGCGTCGATGGGTTGCCCGTCGGTGATGTGAAGGTTGGTTCGTCCGGAAACCAGACGGAATAGAGACCATGCTGGGAATGGTCGAATAGCAGGCGGCCGTTCTGGTTCTGCTGGTAGTTCCGCCAGGCCTCGTGCCGGGCGTTCAGGTCCCCTCCGATTACAAAGCGGGCATTGGTGTGGGTTATGATGGCAAGGTCGTTCTTGAACTGCTGTGCTGTACCATTGCTAACGGTACATTGCCGGTGACTTCAACGAGCTTAGGTACTTCATATTTATACCTGCTAAACTATCAAAATTCTCTAACCAATGAGATGTAAACCGAACTAGCACGCTTCACGCTCACTTGATTCTCCTCATTATTTATTCAACACTAACTCTATCTACTACACCTTCTGACATGTTTCCCCTGAATTGAAATAGGCGGAACAACCAAACTTTAGACACAAAATTCTCGAGAATCACAACACTCCCACGTAAACTAACAATGCCATTCGGTAAAGGAAGTTTGTTCTATCAGATGATGGTGTTAGGTTGCTTGGATGTGCTTTGATTCTCGAGGAATGTGCGTTTAAAGCCATTGTTTACGTTTGGTTTTTCATTTTGTGTTTGTAGTGTTTTCTGCGTATTGTGTCTGTGCGATTTCTAATATCGTTTCAGTGGTAGAGCGTTTTGCGCTCCCACTAGTACGACAAAATGGAGGTTTTGTCGGAAGAGGACATGGATGACCGAGCATCTCAGAAATCTGATGATGTCATCCCTGGTTCGTCGTCTCAGTCTGTCAATGGGCAGGCTACGAAAAGCTTCCCATCACGGTCCTATCCGAATGACTCGACTGGTCCATGGGTTGTCTACTTTCAGCCCAAAAACAAACCTTTGAATGTGGTACAAATTTCAAATGATTTGACGAAGCGATTCTCGGCCGTGACCGAAATCGCGAAGGTTAGGCACAATAAACTTCGTGTGTCCGTCTCTAAACTGAAGCAACCGTATGAGATTGCTGTATCCCAGCTCTTTACGCTCGAGTATAGAGTTTACATCCCAGCTCGTGATGTGGAGATCGAAGGTGTGGTCACCGAAGCGAGTCTGACTCCCGAGATCTTGAAGAAGCAGGCAGTTGGCCGTTTCAAAAACCATTTGCTTCCCCCGGTGAAGATACTAGATGTCCAAAACCTGGGCTCAGTATCTGTCAGCGAGGGTAAATAGAGTGTTACCCCCACAAACCTCGTTTCGTGTGATCTTTTCTGGTTCACTACCTGTGCGTTTGTTCGTTCCCCGGGTCATGAACTGCCAAAACTGTAAGCAGTTGGGACATACGGCCTCCCACTTTATCAGCAAGGCACGCTGTTCCAAATGCGGAGAGAAGCCTATTTGTGCAGCTACTGCACCAACATGCATGTACTGCAAAGGAACTTCTCATGGTCTCTCGTCGTGCCCGGTGTACAAACAACGTGGAGGGAAACTAGAACGCTCTCTTAAGGAACGTTCCAGGTAGTCTTTTGCAGCAGTGCTAAAGACAGTCACACCATCGGCCAACGACAAAAATCCCTTTGCTGTCTGATGACGAGTCTGACTCTGACTTGGCTGAGAAGGGAGTTTCTTTCAGTTTTCCGAAAGGTTCTGCACGGAAACGAAAACGCATCCGTTCGCGGAAAGTTGCAGATCAGGAACCCCAAATCAGCTTGCCCAAATCAAGGAGTGGTGGAAAAAAGGAGACTTCTACTCCTCCTGGATTCCACAGAATTGACTATACCCAGGATTTTCCACCTCTCACGGGGACATCCAAAACCCCTGATGCTCCAGTTTTAAGAACAGAAGCCCCTTCTTCAGCTGGGTTGTTCTCATTTGATGACATTGTGGACAGTATCCTCAAATACCTCGATATTTCTGATCCTCTCAAAAGCATTGTTCTGGCAATGCTTCCTTCTGTGAATGAAGACCCTCTTGAAGCAATTGACATTGAAGTGGCCCCTCCTTGCAGCAACCATTTCCTTAGATGGATAATTTTCCAAACGAGGTCGGGGATTTGATCACTGTTCTACAGTGGAATTGTCGAAGTCGCATTCCTAAATTGGATTCATTTAAGTTTTTAGTTCACAATAATGATTCTGATGCATTTGCTCTTTGCGAAACTTGGCTCTCTGCAGATATCGAGCTTCCTTTTTATGATTTTAACATTATTCGACTGGATTGTGAGGATTCGCGTGGAGGAGGGGTACTTTTGGGGATAAAAAAGTGCCATTCCTTCTATAGCGTGAATTTTCCACAATTTCCAGGGATTGAAGTTGTCGCATGTTATTAAAGGAAGAGCCTTTGTATTGCTTCTTTTTATATTCCTCCTAGAGCAGTTGTTAATCGGAAACAACTTTCAGATATCTGTTCGGTACTTCCTGCTCCACGGTTGATTATGGGAATATAATTCCCACTGTACAGGCTGGGGGGGGGGGGACTGTATGATGACAACCGTTCTACTTTGATATATGACCTCTGCGACAGCTTCAATATGACAATTCTTAACAATGGAGAAGTAACACGTTTGGCTGGTCCATCCTCGAATGGAAGTAGATTAGACCTCGCACTTTGCTCTAATTCATTGTCGTTGGATTGCACGTGGAATGTGATCCAAGATCCCCACGGTAGTGATCACTTGCCGATCAAAGTTTCAGTTGCCACTGGGTTCAATCCGTCGGAACCCGTTAACGTCGCGTACGATCTTACCCGTAATATCGATTGGACAAAGTTCAAGAATGTGATAGAAGATGCCCTAACGTCGGTAGAAGGGCTTGCACCCTTGGACGAATATAACTTCCTCTCCAATCTGAACTTGGACAGCGCGCTTCAAGCTCAAACTCGGCCGGTTCCAGGAACGTCTTTCCGTAGGAAACCTCCTTCCCCTTGGTAGGACCAGCAATGCACTGAGGTTTATCGTAAAAAGTCCGACGCGTTTAAGCTTTTTCGGAAACGTGGAACACCCGTGCATTTCGAAGCGTACTCGGCTTTTGAACGCGAGCAGCCTCATTAAAGCCAAGAAACGCGGATACTGGCGGCAATTCGTGGACGGATTATCGCGCGAAACGTCGATGTATAAGCTTTGGAACGCAGCGAGAAGGATGCGTAACCGGTCTTCAAACAACGAGAGCGAGGAGTACTCGGATCGTTGGATTTTCAAGTTCACGCGTGTGTCCTGATTCCGTGCCGGCACAGATGATTCCTCGCGAAACGACGAATTCGGGAGACGAGATCATTCAACCTTTTTCAATGCTGGAGCTCTCACTCGCGCTCCTTTCGTGTGGCAATTCGGCTCCGGGGGCTGATAGAATCAAGTTCAACTTGTTGAAGAACCTCCCAGACGTCGCTAAGAGACGCATGTTGAACTTGTTTGGTCAGTTCCTGGAGCTTAATATTGTTCCGGATGATTGGAGGCGGGTGAGAGTAATAGCCATTAAAAAGCCTAGCAAACCCGCGTCAGATTACAACTCGTACCGATCCATCGCGATGATATCGTGTATTCGAAAATTGTTGGAGAAAATGATCCTTTTTCGCTTGGACAAATGGGTTGAGACAAACCACCTACTCTCAGATACTCAGTTTGGTTTCCGTAGGGGCCAGGGAACGAACGACTGTCCCGCGTTGCTTTCCACAGAAATTCAGTTGGCTTTTGCTAAAAAAGAGCAAATGGCTTCTGTGTTCTTGGATATTAAGGGGGCTTTTGATTCAGTATCGGTTGAAGCCCTTTCAGACAAACTCCACGCATGTGGCCTTTCTCCATCAATTAATAACTTTTTGTACAATTAGCTGTCAGAGAAACATATGAGATTTTCTCATGGAAACTCTACAGCTTCACGATTTAGCTACATGGGTCTCCCCCAGGGCTCATGTTTATGCTCCCTTTTGTATAATTTCTACGTCAGAGAAATTTATAATCGTCTTAGTGACAACTGCACGTTGAGACAATTTGCAGATGACGGTGTAGTGTCTGTCACAGGGCCCAAAGGGGTCGAAGTGCAAGGACCCTTACAATTTGTCTATTTGGGCTATTCAGCTAGGTATCGAATTCTCCACGGAGAAAACTGGTTGGTCGTTTTTTCTAGGAAGCATACCCCAGCACAACCAAAGCTTCAACTTTTGGGTAATCCGATCACTCATTCTATGTCCTTCAAATATCTTGGGGTCTGGTTCGATTCTAAATGCACCTGGAGGTCCCACATAGAGTATCTGAAGCGATAATGCCAACAAAGGATCAATTTTCTCCGTACACATACCGGAACGTGGTGGGGAGCCCAATTGCAAGAACATCTAACGTTGTACCGGACAACGATTTTATCGGTTTTAAAGCACGGTAGTTTTTGCTTCCAGTCGGCGGCTAAAAAATCTTCGACGTATACACAAATGCTACTGGCTCAGACGGCATCCAAATTTAGTTCATCAAACTGCTATGCACTTTCATCTTACCGTCACTCGCCCATAATCGATTCTCGAACATTCCCAGCTAATTGGAAGATCGCCATCATCACACCTATCCCTAAAACATTCAGCCCTACTCTACCCAGGGAATACCGTCCCGTAAGTGTTCTCCCAGTTGTTTCGAAGGTGTTGGAGAAGGTTCTACTCGATCAGATTACCGACCATCTAAACAACCCTAACACTCGTCTCTTGGCACGCCATCAATCTGGATACAGAAAAGGATTTGAAATCACGACGGCTCTGGCAAAAGTGGTTCACGACGTCTATGACAATCTCGACAATGACCGCTGTACCTGTCATTGTGTCAACCATCGCCTATTCGCGGTCAAGCTCAACAAGGAGTTCCGGTTCTTTTAAGCTGCTTGTGGATTGGTCTCGTCATTCCTCAGACAGAGGTCGTGGAAATATAACATCGGCTATGCGTAGAGTTACTGACGGCACTCCCCAACATCAATAGTTTGTCTGTCTCAAATGCAACTATCAGCTGTATGCAGACGATCTGCAGATCTATATATCGGGACCGAGATGCCAAGATTGACGCGATCACACGTTGGGCCACCAGAAACTATCTGCGCCTGAATCGGAAGAAAACCCAAGTAATCATCTTTAGCAAGACTGGTACTGTGGTACCGCGAACGGAGATTGTCTTCAGCGGAGAGGTTGTACCACTCTCCGACAAAGTAATCAACCTCGGTCTTCAGATGGACACAAATATGACCTGGGCTCGTATGACAAAAAGTATACAACACCAAAAGGACTTTCCGCCGCTTCGCATCGGTCCTCTCTACAGCTACCCGCAGGGACCTGGTTCAAGCCGTGGTTGTGCCTATATTCACATATTGTGATGTAGTGTACTGTGACGGGCTTTCTGCGGCACTGAAAGACAACCTTTACAACCTCCGGCGCCGTGATACAACAGCTGCTGTCAGGAATAACATTGTCGGACACGACCTGCCAGCTAATTACCTTCTCCCCAGCTGCTGCTTCATTAAACGACCTCGCCTCAATGTCACTCCCCATAAGATTTTACATTGGTCTATTTTTAATAAAATTTTAGTAAAATGAGATATCAATTTCAATCAAACTTTTTCATCAAAAAATTTTGATTTTTTGGCCCAATGTCACCCTTATTAACAGTATTCGCAATGTCAAACAAAAATGAAATAAGGACACCGGGGAACATTGAAACGGTTTTTTCAAAGTTAATCTTTGAGACTCACTGGAAAAATCGTAAAATATCATAAACCAGATGTGCATGCATCAAAAGGTTCGTGCAAACTTCTTCTATCATGAAAAAATCTTTAATTATAAATATGAATGCAGAAAGCTACATTTGTATAAGTATACAATTATGGTATGAATCATTTAATCTTACCTCATACAGTGGGGTAAGTTGAAACACACATATTACAGCAGATTAATGGTAAACAATCTCATGCTTTTAACTTGCCTATTCATGTCCAAAATAACCAACAAAGAATAAAAACACTTGATACAAGATTTCCAAATAATTTCGCTAGGCAAGAGTTTGCAAAGAAAAACAAAAATCTCGAAGCAATCTAAACCAAACTCGGTTGCGCTGCGCGGATCGCACCAACGCATCCAAGCATTATTCTCATATTATTATTTTCAATGCCGTCGTACCATTTTTAAGTCGCAGTAAGAGCGCGCGCTGTTCAAGCGGCCGAGCCGCGAGATTCAAATAAATTAAATAAACATTACTACTTTTTACTAGCAACTTTTACCAACACACACATTTTTGCGCGCTCCGTCTCTATCCAGCCCTAGCTAGCCATGCACTCCGGCAGTCGACCGATGAGGCAATAAAAAAAAACAACAACGACGGCTCTTCCTGGGTTCTCGGTCGCTAGTTTTCGTCGGCGCTGTCAGCACTGCCATCGTAGCAGGCCAGGGCAAGAAGAGCGAGTAGAAGACGAGTCGAGAATCTCCAGTAGGCTGTTTTAATGGGTGCGAAATCTTCGGGGTCGGGCAAAAGGACCCGTGGCACGCGCGCAAGGACACAACAGCGAGCCACCCCATTCCACTGGGCTAAGAAGAAGAAAGCCAACATCTTAACCTCCACGGTCCTCCCGCCACCATCGTCCCGTTTCGTTCCACACGCGCTTCAAGAATTTAACTTCGTATTCGTACGGACGGAGACAATGCGTCGATGCACTTTTAGTGGCAGAAACATGGAAGAGAGCAGCAGGCGACGGCGACGGCGTCGTCGTGGAGGTCTTCCTTCCCATTCTTGCCTACTGCGATGCATCCGACAACATGCACGGCATGCTGCGATTCGTATGCATGTGTGTTGTTATTTGTGTACGAAATGCTTGCATATATGAACTGACCATCTCATCATCATCTCCACACGTTTGCACTGTTTGCTTTGATGTTGTTGATATTGTTGGTCGTGTTCTTGAACGCATACACATATACACATACAGCGGTTTTGCCTAGTCCGAGGATAGTACGAATAATTTTGGACGGCTGGAGAAACCGGGGGCACCCCAACAGCATGAAGAAGGTCCGGCTGTCCAGTTCGTACGTATCCTTCTTATGACGGGATTACGAATGCTCGCATCAAGTATATCGAATCAATCCGAAGAGGGGAGCGAAGATGTCGCATGTTAGGCCTTGAAGACCTTCTTCTTCATTTCGACACTGACCATCGCACTGGACGGAACGGAACGTCCTTCACTACCTCACATCAATCCAATCTCAAAGTTAAAAAAAAATAAACATCCGGATCAACTACTAGAACAAGTGCTGAAAAAAACATCAGCGAGTAAGATTCCATTGTAAGCCCGCGTACTAAATTGTGATTTATGTCTTTTGCTACTGTTTTTTTTCTCCTGCCTGCTTCCAAGAATAGAGACAACGAAATGGACACACCCGTTGACCGATGGGATGACCCACAGCAAGGATGGACCATTTCGTCGCCACTGAAACCAAATATCAATATCACACACGTGCAATTTCTGTTTTCGGGTCGGTCACTCACTCTGCGAATCATCATATTCTTCGTCATCTTGTCCGGAATCCGGAATGCCTGTATTTCCACGGTCGAATGTTTTGTGCGAGTCCTCGTCGCGCAAAAATTACAGCTAGTTTTCAAAAATATTGTAATTCTAAATACTTGTAGGTTCTCGTCCTCTCCGTCCTCTGTCGCTCTGCACTCGGATCGTCCCTCTGTTTTCCGCGACACACTCACAAGTTTGTCACCACAGAAATTCACCGCAAAACTTTGTACGAATCCTCAAGAATATTGTCTTGTGCCTCCGGAGCAGGAGGAACTACTCCAAAAACTACTAACTGTCCGAGAATGTGAGACGCACAGCTTTTTCTGAAGTAAGTTGATCGATTTTCGCGAGCCGTCCGTCGGTCGTCGTTGTCCTCGCACACTATGACCGCTCGCGGTACATCTCAGCAGGCTGGCAAGCGAGGCAGGCGAGGTAGGCGAGGCAGCGACGGCGTGTGTATGTTGTTTAATAGAACTGCACTGCACTCTTTCTCTCGCGCTCGCTTCTGCCTTGCGACTGTTGTAGGTACCTACCTAGACTGGCTCTAAGCAAGCCGTGCGAAAACATCCCCGCAACGCGAAAATGACAACTGGAAATCTCTACGATGCGGGTGGCGGAGAAGCAGGCAGGATGGGGGTGGGTGGCTGGCAAAAGCAGGACGCGAAGTCGATGAAAAAGGAGCAGCGAAAGAATCTCGGCAGCGCGAGCGGACGAACGTCGCGAGTGCTAGGGAAAGTTGCAACAGGGATCGTGCTCATCGTGTGCCGGAGCCGACTGTGTGCTGATGGTTTGGTCGATTGTTTCGATTCGCGGGATTGCACGGCCAATAAGAGTAACGCAAAAATGAGTCGAATTGGACTCAACATTGCAAAAAGTGGAGTTACTCAGAGAGTCTAGTAGTATACCAATAGATAGAGTGAAATATCTATCGATTACCATAATATTCAAGAAGCTTTTCCTGGAAAATCGAGGAAAATTTTACTCATTTACTGAGTAAATTCCACTTTTTGCAATTTTGAGAGGAATTTGACTCAATTTTGAGTTACTCTAATTGGCCGTATAATCGATGCCGAGGCGATTGGATGCGGTTGGTTAGAGATGCAAGCCGGTTGGAAGACTGTGAACGTGCATTATTAATTATAATTACATTGATTTGAGCGTTAAATAAAATTGCGGGGGAAAATTAGGTGGGACCTATAACTGTAAGGAATCACGTGTGTTCAGATTTTTCAAAGTAGTCGTTGTGACCGTTGTTAGTTGTTAGTACAATTTATGAATTAATAACAGTTAATTCTTTTCACGTGATTTTTTTTTAATGCTCACAACGCCAAATGACGAATCGTAAAAACTTGGCCTGCTCTTGCATGAAACTTTGCATAATTCACGCGTCACTTTTCAAATAGACCAATCTACATTGATCGATTCTCTTCATCGACTCTCTCGGCCCAAAAAACATGTTCAGCTGTTGCTATTGTCCAATATGCTTAGTAATAACAGACTTTGATGAAAAATTAGCACTAAATATGAATGCAGCCGAGCTATTACCGAAAGAGAGAGAGTCGAGGAAGAGATTCGATCAACTACAAAATACAAAAAAAAAGTGTAATTGACCTCTTCCGATTTGGACCAAATTTGGAGGAGATGTTTATTTTGGTCTACTTTCTTTTATCAATATCTTCGGAACAAATAAAGCTACAATTAATATAATACAATGTTTTTATGAGAAGATTAGACAATGTTCGCAATGCTGTTGTTTTATATGGACCGTTTTCATTTGAAACTAGAACAGAAATACATGCCTCGCTGAGTTGCAGTTTCATTATTCGAGCACTATTTTGCACCATATTAGCAACTACTCGACTATTCTGTTTTATATCTAAGAGGGTTCGAAACACGAATGGAACTCTGTTTCAAACTTCTATGGATGAATTTATAGATCTATCTTAGAAATGTTCAGAGAACTTCATAGTAGATAAGAAAGTTTAATAGAACTTTATGAATTTTACTGAAGTTTTGGGAACTTCTTAGAGGTTTGGGGATATGTATAATTCATAGAAGTTCGGAGAATTTCATAGAGAACAGGAACTATATGGAATTTGTTTTTTAAAAAAGTTTCAGAGAGTGGTACCCTCAAAAAATTCCACACGTTTGATCGAAGTGTTTAAACACTTGATTATTTAAATGCACAATCACATTTACTTTAAGTGTATTTCACCTTGGTTCAATGTGTTATACACGTTAATTTATAATGTTTCAAATTTTGAAATGTTGAAAATCTTTCACTATCTATTCAAGTGTATTGCACATTGAATCACACTACTGTTCAAAACAGATGGATTTAAAGTGTTTTGCATTTCAATGTGATGTGAATTGCTTGCTCAGAAAGGTAAACATCGAAAATAAGAGTTGTGGATAAAATCAACCCGCCTCATATATGAGAACAACCGTGGCACAGTGAGATCGAACGAAGACTCCGGCAGCAGCACACCCCAACAGTCCATGATCGAATCCCAAATCAGACCCATTAAGAAGATATGTGAAAGCTCTGGCCCCTGGCAGTTTTGTTTATACAGGTATTTGTCGATTCATTTTTAGAGTCGGTAAAGTAGAAGTCGATAAAGCAGAATATTGTAAAATATTGAACTATTATGTGTTAAGCTATTGATATCACCAAATGAGGCACATAGAATCCAAGTGTGTCACAATTCAAATCCATAGTGTTCAGGCATGATTCATAGCATAAGATTCACACATGAAATGTGTTTCACAATAAGCGCAAAATTAAGTGTGAGACACATGATGATGACGTGTGGAATTTTTTGAGTGTAGCAGCGTTCATGGTGACCGAAGATCCGTTGAATCGAAGAGCTGAAAGTGTGTCCACTCCATTTGCTGTACAGATGCCTGCTGCAAGTTTGGGGTGTGGCTGAAACTTGCATCGTTCGGTTATTCCAGCCTAGTCTTGCGTCGTTTGCACTTTCTTTCCACTTCTATGCTGTACAATCCATTCAAAACATTGATTTCTATGAAACTTCGCCCATAGCTAGAGTTCATGAATATATTTACAAAAGAAGATTTCAAAAAAATCAGGGCTGCCAATTTTTTCGAAAAATCTAAGTTAAAGTTTTCCGATATTCTCGTACACCACCAACTTAAAAAAATCATAACTTTTGAACCAAACATTGCACAGTAAAAGTTAATTAACAAATATTCAAAATAAAAATACAATTGGAATCAAATTTGGCATGAAGGTTTTCGCCTTTAAAGAAAATCCAAAAGAAAAGCTGTGGAAATTATCGTCTGTATCGCGGTTTTTTGTCCAAACAATGTTTTCATGTTTGGAAATTATAAGATTTTTTCGGTGAATTTTTCAAGATGGTATACCGTTTTTGAGATATGCCCGAAAAACTGATGACCGGTCTAGCGCTCTTAAAATTGTTCCGTCCGTGCACGTAGCAGCTTAAATACCTACCTACCCATCTATATTATAATAAAATCAAATTCAATTATATTAACACAAGGGGCCGGCCGCGTTGAAACGCCTAAGTCAAACGATCTGGTCGACATTATGAAACAGATCGTTCGGGTGATCGTCGCCACTATCTATACCTACTAACGCCGTTAAAACCCGTTTTTAGGTATAGAGACAACGGCACCGGTGGTGTAGTGGTAAGCGTGATTACCTCTCACTCCAGCAGGCCTGGGTTCAATCCCAGTCGGCGCCGCCGGGATGTTCTGAGGCATAACATCTCTGATCACGCCTTCGGAGGTCGAAGTGTGCCTTGGCAGCGATTAAACGTGTTTGTTTTCTATTGTCGGGATTTTTTGCGATAATCTTCTGTCAGCGTTTTGGCTGGTGGCGCTACGCCATCCGGAAGAATTTTCGTTTGAATTATTTCCAAATGTATAGTCCAGTTCAGTTTTTACGTATTTAGTAACCGTGTTGTGCCAGTGTTAGTGATTTAGACCGTGAAATCAGCATGGAAAGAAAAGATTCCCATTGGTTAAACCCTGTTAAGCCGTGCCGTTCTTTTCTGGATACTAATTTGGTGAGCTCGTTCCTTAATTTTTGTGGTAATTCTATCGTAAAAATTTTTTTAAATCATTAAATACACGTCAATCAAATTTTGCGCTACTGTTTTATAGAAAGTTTCTGTACATTATCAGCATCGATACTGTACCGGAGCGGGGCTTATTGTAAGCAAAATCTTCGGAAGCATGCGATCTTGAAATGGGCTAATGGGTATACGGTAAAGCTATCACCTTCGAACTCCAGAGTTCAAACTTTTTGCAGTCATAAAAAAATGGTTACAGGTAGATTTTATGGCCAATTGTTTTGTTCTTTAGTTTCAATAGTTGGTCTAGGCAATGATCCAATTTTATCAGAATATAGTTTTGTCATAGAAAAAGGTTGTGTTAGATCATGTTCGTAAAACAAATTCATGAAAGAAGGATACATATGTGGTAATATAGTAACAGGTTTCCTAATGACTACTGACTACTGATATTAGGCAGAATATAATTTTTCAACAAACACGTGTCGGTCGAATTAGGATTTATCCCAGGCTACTATTGTAGAAAAACGTAATTGATAGATATTGGGCGGAACGCGTCGGAATGTTTAGAAAAATAGGGCGCACGCTTGATCCGGTTTAAGATACATTTTTGACTGCTTTCGGGAACGTGATTTCATTTTAATAACTTGTTTACTTGTTTAACCATTGAACGTCGCGTGAAAGTGGAACTTAATGAAGGCATCAGTGCTTTTTCGTAACTTTTAGTTTTCGGATTAAAAAAAATCATCGGTTGCAGGACAGTGTTACCGATTTATATTGGATAATCCAAAGCTATGTTGATCATTATAACATTAAATTTTGAATAACAAATGATAAGACAATCTTATTCAAATGTCGTAATAATGCCTCTGACCAAGGAAAAATGATTTATATAGTTTTCATAAAAGTTGACGATACAAATACTAATGAGGAAAGGAATTCCGCATTTCCTTTTCCCAAGTCTTTTTCCTCTCCTTCCCTTCCCTTCTTCTCTTTTCAGAAAGCGAGTAATGGCGCTATAACCATAGAGGTAACTCTAAGACTAGAAGGTCCCGAAATAACGTGCTCAAATTTTTGGCTCAGCTCTGGTACTCTCTTCGGTCCCAAGCTAATCGATTCACCCCTCGAAACATAGGAAAAACGAATAACCCCTCATTTCATCTGTCAAACTTTCATAGCGAATCAAAACAAACATTGCGTAGTACTAGAATTTCGACTAGAATGGGATACGTTAATCGTTTGCTTGGGACCAATAGGCTAGTCAAGTAGTGAGCCAATTTAAAATCGTTAGTTTCGTATTGATTGTTGCTATAACCATATGCCATATAGGGCTAGGACAAGAGTTAGTACTCAGGTCCCAACCGCTAGAAGAAAATGGTAGCGAGCAAGGGCGCTATAACCTAGGCGAATACAGCATTCCCTCCGTATAGGTTACGTCCGCACACCGCTCTCTGTTGTCCTTCGACTGAGGTCGGCTGGATCGATTGAGGGATCGCAGTGGGTTGGCGGTGCCGTCCACGCTTGTACG